TATTTATTAAATAAGAACCTACAAATACCCTTGTCCACTGAAGAAATTGTACAACATTATACTCATGAGAAAAACTTCAACCACTTTAAGAAAACAGATAAACCAATACATGTTCAATTTGACTTATTTAGTCACACTCTTGCGTACAGTTATTGGAGCAAACCAGAAAACAGAAATGAGTGTAAGCCTAGGCATTTTCAGTGCCTGTAGCTCATCTCTTATTGCAGAGAGAGGGTGTGGAGGATTGGAGTTGTGAATCTCTGCTCATAGAGAATCCTATTTATTATTATGATAACCGAGGACTGAGTAAACAGTCTGAACGATGCTCGACCCAAGAGCTACGAGAGCAGCAAGGAAAGCAATACCAGTCCAGGGGCTGCTGAAATGCTCGTGAAAGAATTGAGCCATCACTCTGTTACCCCAGTTGTCGTAGTGATCTTCTATTTTGTCTTTAACAGAGGAGTAAATGTTATTGTTAGGCACCAAGTCAGTGCCTATCTCATTGAAGAGCAGAGCCACCTCCTCGTCATTCCCAAGGAAGTTTTGAAGTATCAGCTTCTTCCTCAGATGCTTTACATCATCGGGCTGATCGATGAGCGAATCGAGGAAGCATATGTAAGAGGTGACCCCGAAATCATTGTGGAAATCGGGACACATTTCGTAGGCTATCAAGTTCATGAACTTGGGTCTGGTCGAGTCGTCGACTTTTATTTGAGGAAGATGAAGGATTCCATGGAATCGATGATAAGACCCAAAATATATGCTCCTCAATGAGTTGCCCTCACTAGGTTTAAAATGGATCCCAGATGCCTGAAGCTCTTGCACGTTGCGAAAAGAGTGGGAACGTTGAGTACCTTCTTTTATCTCACTTTTGTTGTTAGGTGAACGTAGCATTGTTGTCCGAAGAAGCTCGAGCAGATGAGTTGGCTCTGCTTCTACGTCTTGTCCTGGTTGTGACCTCTGTTCTTCTTCTTCTTCTGAATTTTGTCGCTTCTGATCTGCTGGTGCTGCTGCAGGGCTGTTTCTCCCAACGAACTCATCGATTGATTCCTTCAATTCCTTGTGTATTTGGCTCGTGCTCATCAACAGCTTTAGGAGTTGATAAGGAAGTTGGTTCTCCAGCAAGAACATGTCCTGTTCTGCAAAGGCCACCTGGTCTCTCTTGATCTGAAAATTTTCTAATTCATCATATTTGTATATGAATTCCAGTGTGGAGCACCCATCAACGAACAACATCCACGCGAGGAATTCGTCATCATATTCCTTTGTTGCTTCCTCATCATAGCACTTCCTTAGTTCATTGATATTGTCCTCAACCTTCTTGAGCAGATCTGCATCATTCTGCTTACTGTCCTTGACAAAGTTTGCAGCTAATTTAAGCTTGATTTTCTCTGCATACTCGTACTGTGGCTTACGAGCATGGTGGAAAGGACCAAGTGCTGCAACAATTGGCTCGTAGTACTTGTCGAATTTTGTGTCTTGTCGGACTCGGAGCATGAAGGGAACCTTTTGGATCTTTGGTTTCACCTTTTCAGCCTGAACAGGTGCTTCTTCCCTTAATTTGTTGAGTCTCTCCTCCCTGGTACTTGCCTCCTCATGGATTGTAATACTCACCTCAATTTCTGCAGGTTGGTCTTGGTCTCCTCTGCTTCCTTGTCCACCTCCTCTTTTGGTAACTTGCCTCACATTTTCATCTTTTTGGGCCATTTAATTTCAAAGTGTGAAGATATGTGGCTATTCTTTTTTTGGGAGGGGGGTTTGACTGAATGATCTGTGGCTATAGATGGTGATTCTAGGTTTCACATGCATATATCTATATATAGTTAGTACAACAGGCCACAAAAATTCTTACTTGAGCTTCGAGAAAAGAAAGTAGAAGCTTCATTTGGAAGGATGATGTTTGATTGATGTTTAGATGTATATGACAGTGAGTCACACAATATTAATATGAATATTGATAGTGAAGGAACAAGTACACTAATCATATGAGGAAGAAGCTTTTTATCTCCAACAGAGAAATTAAAAAGTCTGATTGCCTTGGCATAAATATTCTTAGTTGGGGTTGTTTCCTACACAAAAGCATTTAAAGGCTAGCGTCCTACGTACGGTAAGAATCAATAAAGTAGAATTTCAGTCCTTGAAGAGAAATTTTCATATAAAATCATCAACAACGTGAGTCACGTAATTCAATAGGGCTCTGTTTGGATGGAGGTATTTAAAGAGAGGATTTGGATTTGAGAACAAAGTTGAATTTTCTAGAAACTACTAGTTAGAAAACATTAGCTTGAACATTTGGAATGAATTTCAAATGACTATATATATGCAATGAGTTATTTGGAATCCACTTATTTTAGTCATTTCCTTCTTATTCAACTCTTGGCGTACATGGACTTTTCTTCTTTTTTGGTCGAAATTGCAATTCATTGCAAACCCTCAAAAGGTAGAGAACAGTACAAACAAAGCCGAGCAAAAACACTGGCCAAAAAACTAGAAAACAAACAAGAACAAATTTAGCTAAAATCAGTACAGTATAACATAAAGATCATGTTCTTGAGCCGAACCTAAAACGTCAAAAGCCAACAAAAAGGCATTTAGCCCATAAAGGCATAATCATATAAAACCTAGCCGTCACAACCAAAAAGAAACTTCAAGCCGCCACCACCAGCAAAGAGAAACTCCCCGATTGTAGATGGACACACTGTCACTATGAAGACCCAAACACCCGTAGGTCAGCAAACCAAGCCAAAAATCACTCAGAACATAGCACACCCGAGATTCATAAACAGATCCAGAATCAACCCAACCAATACATCCAAAAGACAACAGCCAACAAAAAAAGAATGAGAAAACCCATTCCATAGCTAGGAGAAAAAAAACCAAGAACCTGGAAGGAGGTGGTGCAAGCACCCAAGCTAGAGCTCTACACACCTTCCAATAAATACGCGTCAAAACGCATTTAAAATTTGCAGCTACAACCCATATCAAAGGGGAGGCGAAGGAATCCAGGTGAGCCATGGACTTTGGTACAGTATGGAGCAGGACCTGCAGGGTAAATATGGTGGTCAAAGGGGAAATCATGCCTAAGGTCTTCATCCCACTAGATTGGAAAAAGGAGGAGAAGGAGAGAAGTGAGATTCAAGGAGGAAGAAGGAGGGGAGGGGAGGAGGAGGAGACCGCCTCCCCCCCTAGATGTGGCGCTGGGGGTTTTTTGTTTTTCTGCTAGGGTTAGAGAGAGATGCGCGTACATGGACTAGTGTAGTAGTCTAAACAAACACTTTAACCTTATAATATCATTCAAATTCCTAATTTAAAATCACTCCATCCAAAGGGAATTTTAATATGCCTACACTTTTTAGATTCATACTAGACAAAAGTATTGTAATGTGCTCATGACATGCACTGTAAACTAGCATTGGGTCGGCTCACTACTTTTGCTAAGTGGCCTAACTCACATCATATACAATTTTTCTTACATCATGATGACTGGATTTTCTTATAAGCGGATTTTAAAATTGAGACATCAGATGCATTCAATGGTACAGTAATGAGAGAAACAAAGACGATTTTGTGATGAGAGAAAGAGGGGGGAATTTGAGTATTTGAAAAGGGCTAGTTGAAAATGAATTTATTTATTTTTTTTAAAATTTAAAGATTAAAGTGAGAATCACAAATTTTCCGAGTATGGTATCCGTATCAAGAGAGCTTTTGAAAAAAAAAACTTTCTAACTTCTCTAAGGAGGATCCCCAGCCTCTATATTTAGCTCTCTTGTCTATTTACCTACATTTCACAATATCTAGACCATTTAAATAATCTAACCGTTTAAGACATGACACATCACCTATGTAATTATTTATAATAAAAAATTATTAGAAAAATTGTTTAAAATTAACAAATGTTTTCTTGTTTAAATAAAAAATTAAAACATATAC